GCTTACTACAAGTGATGACCACAATAAGTCTAGCTAGCATTCACAATGTATGGAGTTTTTTACCCAAAGATAGTTGATTTGAAAAAATGCCATTGTGTTTGAAAAAAGATGAGCATTCTTTATCTTTCAATTCAGACTTTTCTCTTCTCTCTCTCCTTCCCTCCCTCCTACCCTCCCTTCTCTTCTCATTTGCCTACCTGCTTATATATTTTTTTTTAGATTAGCAAATTATTTTTTTTATTACAAAGTTTATTTTTACATCATTTTACACATTTTTTTTTCCATCTCGATTGTAATCCCCACGGGTTTCCCATCACCAGATCACCTGTGCCACCACCCTAGTCCCGTGCATTTCCTTCCCTCCCCCCCCCCTGCCGCGGCACCGGTATCCGCAGCGGCAACCCGGAGCCGTTGAGGCGGCGAAGGGGGGAAGGGGAGGAAGCGAGGGATGAGCGCCGGGAGGGCGTCGGGGGCCTTGAGCCGGACGAGGACGCCCCTGAAGCCAGAACCGGAGCCGGAGCCGGAACCAGAAGCACACCACCGGTACTGGGTGGGCCAGGTGGTTAGGATGGGAGGAACCAACACGGGGGAAGGGGTGTTCGAGAGAACTGGCAGGCAGGGGAGGGGGCTGCAGAGGCCTGGCTCAGGCCCGCACCGAGGAGGTGCAGACGCTGACTCAGGCGAGATTCTTTCGCCAGCCGCCTGAGAATTCCGTCCCATCTAGCGCTGCAGTGTCCTTGGGAGGGACAGAAGCGCAGGGCAATCTGGAAAGGGGGGGAATGCTCTGGGGCTTTGGGAAGGAGGGACCAGGGCCGGGGAAGAGGGCTTGAGCAGCGGCCGTCTGGTACCCGAGATTCGGACCAGCACCCATTGCTCGGACAGCTCCCAGATTGGGTAGGGGGTGGGGCTGGACCGCCTAGGGTCCTGAGGGATTCCTGTCCCTCCCCTTCCCCTCTGCTGCAGCCCCATAGCCCCAGGAGGCACCCTGGCCCGAACTCGCCCTCCAGGGCCTCATGTCGGAACCACAGCCTGACCTAGAACCGCCCCAACATGGGCTGTATATGCTCTTCCTGCTTGTGCTGGTCTTCTTCCTCATGGGCCTAGTAGGCTTTATGATCTGCCACGTGCTTAAGAAGAAGGGCTATCGCTGCCGTACATCCAGGGGTTCTGAGCCTGACGACGCCCAGCTCCAGCCTCGTGAGTGAAGAGCTCAGAATCAGGCTCATTTTTCTTTTTCCTTCTCCTTTCACTCTCCGGCTCCCTGATCAATAGTCCCAGGCCAAATCCTGGTGGTAAGCCTTCAGGTAGCCTAGAGATGTTATCTTGAGTCAGCAAGTGGGATGACACCACCCTGAAGCTAGACTAGAGAAGGAAGCATGGTGGGAAGGGCCCATTGATGGTTGTCTTGGGCTCTCATTGACTTCTCCATTTCTTCTGCCCTGCCCCCTGAAATGCTAACATCGGTATGATGGCAAGCAGGCAAAATGGTGTGTCTTGAGAAAAAAGCCACAGAAGCCACCAAACAATATCCTCCCAAAGCTGACTCACTTTCCCCTTCCTTGCCAACCCCTTTCACCCTGCAGCTGAGGACGATGATGTGAATGAGGACACAGTAGAGAGGATTGTTCGCTGCATCATCCAAAATGAAGGTGGGTGTACGCTGGCCCCTTGCTCCTCAACCCCTGACCTCCACCTCCACTGACTCCCTCTTTTTTCTCCCCTCAGCCAATGCTGAGGCCTTGAAGGAGATGTTGGGGGATAGTGAAGGAGAAGGGACAGTGCAGCTGTCCAGGTGAGCTGGAAACAGGGCCAGCATGACTTCGCTTGCCTTGGAGAGTACCCTCTCCTCCAGCACAATCCTCTCCCAGTCTCCTTGCATGTTTGGGATGGGGTGGGAGGGCAAGGCTAGCTAATCTATAGGAAGAACGTTCTATAGAAATTGTGAGTTCTTCAAACCCTATCTTCCATCTGGATACCACAAGTTTAGTCCACAACTTTGGGTTAAATATTACCCTCTTTAGCAAATAGCCCTGGGAGGGAAAACATATGGTCACTGACATCTTAATACTGAGTTTATTAAAGACAAGAAAAGAAAGTTGTGGCCTGGGGAAAGTGGGGCATCTCTTAAAGAAGCAAATGGAACAAGAAGGAAAATGGCAATGTCACCCCTGCTCCCCTCCTCCCTACTGTCCAGCGTGGATGCCACCTCCAGCCTGCAGGACGGAGCCCCCTCCCATCATCACACAGTGCACCTGGGCTCTGCAGCCCCTTGCATCCACTGCAGCCGCAACAAGAGGCCCCCACTTGTCCGTCAGGGACGTTCCAAGGAAGGAAAGAGCCGTCCCCGGCCTGGGGAGACCACCGTGTTTTCTGTGGGCAGGTGGGAATAAAGTGTCCCAGGGAAAGGGAGGTTAAAGTGGGAGCCCCAAAGATCAGACCTCTGATTTCAAAGATGAGTCCCAGTGCTATGAACAGCAGCAGGAGTCAGGCCTCAAAAACTGAGATGTCTCTCCTGCTCTAGGCCAGAGGGAAGTGCCCATCAACTCTAGGATGTGCCTGGCTGAAGGGAAGGGCCAAGCAGCCTCTGAGATGTGTTCCTAAATCCGACTGTTCCTTCCTCTCTCAGGTTCCGGGTGACACACATTGAGAAGCGCTATGGGCTGCATGAGCATCGTGATGGCTCCCCCACGGACAGGAGCTGGGGGTCTGGTGGGGGACAGGACCCAGGAAGTGGCCAGGGGTCTGGGGGAGGGCAGCCTGGGTCAGGGACACCTGTCACTGAGAATCTACCCCCTGAGAGGCCCCAGGCCCTTGCCACCCCACCAGTACAGAATGGAGGACTCAGAGACAGCAGGCTAGTCTCTCGCACACTTGAGGGGAACCCTGGAGCCTCTGCAGAGCCAACACTGAGGGCCAGAGGGAGGGATCCAAGCCCAGGGCCCTCCAGTCAGGAGGCAAATGGACACCGAAGCAAACTGGACACCTCTGACCACCAGGTATGAAGCAGTGGGCTATAATGGGCTCAACTCTTACTGACCCCTACAATGGGGCACTGATAACAACCCACCTCTGGTTCTCCCATCGCTGACCCACCTCTCAGGTGTCCCTGCCACAAGGAACAGGAAGTGTGTGAGGTGAGTCTGCCTGGGTCCCCAACCCAGACAATCCCATCACCCCACCCTGTTTATACTACCTAAGCCCACCAGCTTCCTGAATGCCCAGGATAAACTGTAGGCGTAACCTTTACTGCAAAGTCCTTGGTTTGGTGGTGGGGAATGGGGATGGGTATGGTTCTGCAGCCCTGGGGGAAAGCTGAGGCACAGCTTGAATAGAAGGCAACACTGTTACCCTTCCTCTCCTCCAAGCCTCATTCTTCTTTGTGCTGACTGAACTGACTACCAGCTGGCAGGGCCAGGGGATGGGTGGGCTTGAAGCCCCTCCTTCCCACTGGACAGCACTGCCCTCCTGCTGAGGGACCAGCCCTACTTCCTGGAGTTGCATGGTCTCAGGTTGGGGGACCTCAGGAGGAGTGCCCCCAACCCTCATCTGTGTCTCATGCCCCTCCCCTGCCTGCCAACAGGCTGCCTAACCTGCCTTCCCTATCATCTCGCTCCATATGCTAGAGCGTGACAGCTGGGAGCAGGCCCCTGCCCTTGGTGGGCCCCTAAAGCAATAGCACCTTAGGCCCCCTGCCCTCTTGGCACAAGAGGTCCAGGCCCTGGCTTGGGCTTTGTGCCCTTTATTCACTGTCAATAAATCCGCTCAGACTATTACAGCTGCTTTGCATACTGGCTCCAGCTCCTTCTGACAGCCCCCAACCACAGTGACCCTGGCATCTGGAATGGGGTGGGTCACAGAGCCAGGGTGGATACACAGATGGGCTGGAGCCACACGAGACTTTTGGGGATGGGTACCAGCCCCAGAGATTTCAGCATATTTAACCACCCTAGAAATGGAGTGGTGGCAGAAGAGGGTAGTTCCAGCCCTATAGAAGGCAGCATAAGGATGATGGGGAAAAAGAAGTGGATTCTAGCCCCCCAAGTGGGGTAAGGGGTAGTTTCTCTCCCTGGAGGTGAGAGTGGAAATGGAAGATTCCAGCTTTTGGCTGTCGCTCCAGATCATTGAGGGGGTGGTCTCTGACATGAAGATAGGGGCAGCAGCATCACTGGGGAGCAGTGATCCCCTTGGCTTCAGGTGAGGGGGTCTGGGAGGCCAGGATCCGGGGCTTTAGCTGGTGGGGGAGGTGGTGGACGCATCTGTAGGGAATACACAGAAAGTGCTCCAGAGGCCTCCCTGGGAAGAGAGGAGGTATCCCTATCCATTCCCTCAGCCCCACAAACAAAGCAGGAAAGTTGGAATAATTTCCCTCCATATATCCTCCACCAAGGGAAAGGCCCTTACCGGCCTGAGTCGAGGTGCCATCATGCTCAGGGACCCAGGACAGTCAAGGTCTTGGTCTGGAAATAAGAACCACAGTCAGTCTTCAGACCTTTTGTTCACTGCTTTATCTCTAGCACTTAGGACAATGGCACTCTGTAAGTCTTTGTTGAATTGATGAATAGTTACAAACTTGGGCCATAAAATCCATCATCCTCAACAACTGTTGGGCACCTGCTGTAAAATCAGCTTTCCTTCAAGATACCAGAACATGCACCCCCACCCCACTGGCTGTCAGAAACCTGATAATGAAAGGCCAACAAACACAATGACTGAGTGCTTAATCTTCAATGTGAACTATGGGTGCTAAAGAAAGGGGTGCAGAAAATGCTCACAGGAGGTCTCCTGGCTCAGGGAGGAGGCACTGTGAAGAAGCTGGGAGAACCAAAGGTTTTAGAAAAGGTGAGCATTCCATGAAGGAAAATGACATAAAGCAAGGTTTTTGTAGGATACAAAAACACTAACAGCAGAGGATGGTTACAAAGAAAACAATGAGGAGAAGCTAGCTACTTTTTTAAACAAGAATGAGAAACACCTACTGCTGGCATGCTTGCTATGTGCTAGGTATACAGCAGGACACCCTACAGATATCTTTTTAACTCAACAACTCAATGAGGTTGAGACCTTTCTCCTCACTCCATAAAGGCCCCAGCGGTTAAACATTCCACCCCAATCATGCACTAAGAAGTCACAGAGTGGAATCTGAACAGAGAACCTGGCTCCAAAGCCCACATTTCTCACCATCATGGATGATGGAGAAAACAACTGAGGGCAGGCAGAACAACCAGCTGTCACCAAGGAGTCCCAGGCCTCTGCCTTGCTGTTTCTCCCACTCCCGGGACCCCTAATACACTGTACTCACCCCCAGGAAGCACAGGTGCAGGAGGCCCATCTAAAGCAGAAGTGGGTGCAGGAGGGGAGAAGCTGGGAGGAGAAGGGGATGGCAGCACCTGAGCATGGGAGCAAAGAGTTATTACTGGCATGTGAGAAGGTTTTACCAGCATTTTCCTCTCATCCCACCTTTAGTCTGTGTCCCATCACTTCCCAACACTGTGACTGGGTGGGGGTTTTAGCTAAAATGAATTTCAACAGCCAGTGTGTATTGGCATCATGTCGCAGGCATTCCACTAGAATTTTATATGCAATAATCCATTCATTCCTCACCACATCCCATGATGTAAGGTTTTTAAAGATTCCTATGTTGAGGAGGATGCACAGGTTAAGTGCCTTCTGTGGCCACTGTACTAAGAGCTTTACCTCATTATATCTAATCATGATAGTCTGTTGAATAGCTATCATTATCTCCATTTTACACATGAAGAAACAAGCTCAGGGAAGTCAAATCACTGCCCAAGGTAACGTGATAAGAATCCGAACTGAAATCGATTCAACACTAAAGTAGGACCACTGATCTCTGACAAAGGCTGCCATGATTTTCCTTTTCTCTGCCCAGCCAAAGGAGAAGGGGAGGCCAAGCCACTATAGGAGGTGAAAATGGAGAGAGGCAGCAACATTAAGAGGACTACGGGGCCCCTCTGGCATGGGAAAGTCAACCCAGAGGTGCGTGGGTTGGAAGCCTCACCTGTTCAGGGTCTGAGAGTTCAGATGGCCCTGGGGGACCAAGCAACTCCTCCACCAGCAGGGAAGGGAAAACCCCAACATGGCCTCCAAATTCTCCCCTCCAGAAGCCATCATCCACTCCATCCAGGGCGCGAGGCAACAGGCGGATGAGTGCCCCCTCGGGGAAGCTCAGCTCTTCAGCACTCTGCCCTGTGTAGCTGTACAGGGCTCGGGCCAGGAAAGCTGCAGAAGGCCAGGAGAGATGATGAGGAGAGAAGAGGCAGGGGGTGATGATATCCTAGGTGGTGACCACAACATCCCAGGGTCACACCATCTCAGTAGCTCTTGTCTATATAGGGCCCCCGGGATAGCCCTTTCTTACCTATAGGCTCTGCTCCTGAGGGATTGTCGCTGTCATGGCTGCTCTCAGGGAAGGAGAGATCCGGGAAGTTGAGGTATCGCTCAGGGACAAAGCCTACCTCGCCGTGCTGGTTCCGAGCCTGCTCACCCAGCAATGTGAACAGAGAGCAGACTTGCCTCAGCAGTCCATGGCGCTGGTCCTCTTCCACTCAGGCTTCTAGCTAGAGTGTCCCTCCCCTGGCCCCTCTGTCAAAATCAGAGTCCAGGGTCCATACCTACCTTGACCCATTCGTCAGCATCTCCCTCCTCTATGACCTCCAGCCACTCGCCCTCTGTGATGGTCAGCTCGTCCTCGTGCCCTGCCTGAGCCCCACAAGGAAGGGTTTAGGACTTGGCTGTTCCCCAGCCATACTTACATGTCTGAAGTACCCACCGCCCTTCACACCTGATAGCCAAACACCACATGTGCAGGGCACGGGAGGGGCCTAGTGGCCAGTGTTGCAGGGGTGGGTTCCTCAAAGAGCTCCCCAGTCTCCTCACATTCCTCAAAGTCAGAGAGCTCAGCATCTTCAGCCTGGTGGGAGTAGAGAACAGAGAGCATCATGGAGTCCACGCTTGTACCTCCTGTAACTTCCGCAGTTCCATCCCTGCCCCTTCAAGAACACCTCCAAGGTATTCATTCGCCATGTATATTACAAGCAAAGTCACAGAGTGGGATAACGTTAGCAATAATCCCCGAATTATAGATGAGTGCTTCTATGTGCCAGGCACAAAACTAAGTATCTTCTGTTTATCATCTCATTTAATCTTCACAGTAGCACAGTGTTACAATCAACCTCTTTTTACTTACTAGGAAAATGAGGCTCAGGAAGATTAAGTCACTTTCCAAGGTCACACAGCTAGTAAGTGAAGCAACTGGCACTTGAACTATTTACAGTCTGCCCAAGAGCCTTAGTTCATACTCACCATCCTACCCTCATAAGTTTGTTAAGGACTCTGCTGCAAATTACACCAAGAATTATACTTCAGTGATTTCACCTAAGCTTCACAACAGCTCTCTAAGGCAGGTACCATGGTGATTCCCACTTTCTGGGGCTGTCCTTCACTGGGCAGTGTTAGCCTCCTGGATATGTGTGGAAAGCGAACAGAGGACACTCACTGTGGGAGAGAGGTCCCTCTGGGACAGCCGGGCCTCACTGAGCCTTCGCTCCTGCTCCATCTCTTCCTGGGCCTGTGTCATGGCTGGCTTCAGCCAGTGCTGCACATCCATGCCAGCCCCCTGCAGCAGGGCCAACCGGGCAGCACCTTTCACCTGGCTCACCTGGAGTGAGGAAAAGAGATCAATCCAGGCTACAGCTCGGCCTGCAGTTGGAAAGTGAGTGAAAGCTACCCAAATATCCACAGCCCACACCAGCTGACAGAGGGGTAAAAGAGGTGTAACCCAAACGGGTGAAATGCAAAGGCCCTAACCGCCTGGGCTATACCTCACCTGTGCTCGCTGGATGCTCTCCCTCACTTCCTGCAGCCTCTGTTCAATGCCTGGAGCCTCCCGCCCTGGAGCCTGCAGTCTCCTCTGCTCCAGCCGCTGTAGCACCTAGTTGGGAAGCAGAGGACAGCGTGGGTGGAGATGCCATGGGACACAAGTCACTATGGACATGGCACTGTGCTAGTTACTTCACAGGCATTATGTCACTCAATCTTCCCTAGAAGGTGGGTGGTACTGTGAGTCCCACTTGAATGATGAGGAAACTGAGGTCAGAGAAATGAAGTCACTCCCTTGTACAGGATTACATAACTAGGAAGTAACAGAGCAGGACCTGAAACCCAGGTGGATCTAGCTACAAAAACTGCTTTAATGTTGGCTTCACATGGGCAATGGCATCCCCAGTGACTCATCTCATCTCCCAGGACCCTCATCTCTCAGCCTCTTGCCCACCCACGACACCTACACCCCCACCTCACCCGACGCCCGTGGTTCTGGATCTTGTAGTCTCGGGCAGCCCGGCTAGCCCAACGCTGAACCTCTTTCTCTAGGCCGCTCTCCCCAGCCATGCCTCCTGTGCCTCCCTCCAGCTCGAGGGCACACACCTGAAGGAAAGGGGTGCAGAAAGAAAGGTTGGATGCTGCTCCTTCCCTACTCCCCTTCCCTCCTTTGTTTCCTGGTTCTGTCCCCAACCTCCAGGAACAGGGACCAAGAGTGGGACAGACAGAGTCCCTCAAATGGGATCTGGGTTGAGGGCCTGAGAGGGAATGAAGAGGACAGGGCAGCGAAGGGACAAAGGAGGAATGAAGTCTGTTAATTCGTGTCCTGGTAGGAAGGAGGTGAAGTGGAATTGTGAAACACCCCCTTCTGCAACAGTTCCCAAGTTAAATAACAGGACAAGCATGACGGCAAGAGGCCTAAACCATAGTTCTCTTTACACTGGCCTGGTTCCAGCAAATAGGAAGGTCTCACCTGATCAGCCCCTGCTGGCTGGAACTGCTGAGGTGGTGTAGGGGAAAATACTCCAGGCTCCTGAAGAAAGAGCTTCAGATCCTGTTCCCAGCTTACCTGGGGGTTGGAAAAAGTCAAAGTCATTCACTTACTAGCTCCCTCTCTCCATCTAGTCTCAGCTCCTCTTGGAAGAGGACAAGGTAAGAAGGAAAGGGCCAGACATTCAGTGGGTTGGTCTGCTTTGGGATAGAAGGGGAGAGAGGATCTCTGGGGAGCTCTTATAAGTCACAGCTCTCACCTGGGAGGTTGCCTGCCCACCACGGCGGGCGTGCTCCAGGGCCATCTCCGCAGCTTCCAGCTCAGTGCGGCTCAGTAAGGTCAGGGGGTCCCTCAAGTGTTCCAACAGCTCACTGACCAGGGCCTGGAGAGAATCCCAAGATAATGACACTATCCTTCCCCCAGGTCTCTACTGCAAAACAGGCTGTCTGTTCAGGTTTGGACTGGTAATGGGCATGCATCATGGGAAAGAAAGAATAAGACACAACCACTGCTTCTAATAATAGGCCCTCGTGTGCACAGTACTGAACAGTTTTAAAAGCATTTTCACATCCATTCTCTCTTGAGCCCCACAGATCTAAATAAGCAGGCAGAAAAGTTGTCCCTAATAAGTGTCCAAGCTTGAAGCAGAACCCAAGGATGTATCTTCTACCCCGACCCAGACAGGCTAGGACCCCAGCACCACCTAGTCTGATGATAGTGAGAAGCAAAGAGAGATGTTCCCTCCATCCCCACTAAGAGGAAGGGGTATCTGGGCTGGACTGGCCTTGAGCAAGGCTGGCAGTTCCTCCTGGTAGTAGTGGTCAAGGTGGGCATTGGTGGCCACCAGGTTGAGCAGGTACTCATTGCGGGCTGCTCTCAGCTGCTGGGAGTACTGAGCCGACTGGGTAGATAGCTGGCAGGGGGAAACAGGTGTCAGCAGGAATCCCTGGAACTTTGGCATCCCTTCAAGGTTAACCCAGATCTGAAATGGATCCTCACACTGGATACTTAATCCAGCGCTATAATAGAAACTTCATAGACTTACAACTCCAGCTTGAAATCCTCTAATGGCCTCTGCTTACATTTAAAATCAAGTCCCAGCTGCTCCTTACCACAATCTATCAGGTCCAATATGAGCTGGCCTCTGCAACCTCCCTGACCTCTTTCCACATGTTCATTGCCTCCCTCACTGTGCACCAGCCACGCTGGCCTTCTCTCAGTTCCTCGAACCTACATAGTATTCCCGCCTCAGAGCCTTTGTGTTCACCATTTTCTCTCCCTGGAATGGAAGAGTTCTTCCCCTAGATCTTTGAGTGACTGGCTCCTTTGCCACAATCAGGCCACCTGTTTAGAGAGGCTTTTGCTCTAAATTATACCCCTCTGTCACCCTCTGCCGTAGCACCTTGTTGTTGTCATGCAATCTGCTTATGTGTTTATTTACTATGTCTTCCCTAACCAGGCTGTGAGGGCCAGAACTCCACTGGTTCCACTGGTTCTCCACTTATCTTCAGTGTTTACAGCAGAGTGCATGGAGCCTGGTATATAGAAGTCTTCAATAAATGCATGCTAACAGAACAAAAATAAATATTATTTCTACTTTATAGTTGAAGAAAATGAAGCTCAGAGACATCAGGTTAGTTAACCACGGTCATCCACCAAGGAAATAGGGAAGCTGGATTCCACCAGCCTCTCAAGGCTTAGGTCCCTGGCTTCCAAACTCCTAAACTACTCTGCCCACCTCTCCCCTGCCCTGCTTCATGGGAATTTAACATAAATCATGCCCACATCCCCAGAACCTTGGTGCTGAGCTTCTGGAGGCTGGTTCGCGTGTGGAAGAGCCCGTGGTCATTTCTGTTTAGCCTGTGCAGGAAAGGAGTCAGGGTCAGGCCCAACTGTGATGCCTAAGCACCACCTTCTCCAAGACCCCAACCTCCTCATGACCCCACCTGGCCTGGACATCAGCCGCCTTCTCCTGTGCCAAGGCCCACACACGTTCCCTTTGCCCATACAACTTCCGACTTCGGCTCAGTTCCCGAACAGACTGCAGCACTTCAGCCTGAGCCCTCTGGAGGTTTTCTGCTCCCTAAGGACATGTACACACAAAGTCCTCACCCAGACCACCGCCATTCCCTGTCAGTCCTTCCTTTCCCCATGCACTGAGCCGTACCTTCCTAAGTACCTGCTCCTTGGCACTTCGCCCTGTGCCCCCTGCCAGGTCACGGTATCGGTCAGAAGCCTGGAGCCGGGCTTGGCCCCCAGCCACGGTGGCATCCAGCAGGCAGCGCCAGGCACCAAACACCATCCTGCCTCTCCCCAGAGAAGGTCTGTGTTGGGGAGGGGAGCACTCCAAGGATCACGAGACCCCACCTCCACACCAACACCATGGCAGACAGAGTGCGTTCCCATCCCCCAGCGTCTGGGAGTCTATCAATCGATCAGCCCATTAGCTCAGCCACAGGATCACTCATGTCCTCCGCCCCCACCCACAGTGTCCTTGCTGGGTCAGCTCCTCTCCTGCTGCTGTGTCAGCTCTGTGTGCAGCTCACGTGCCCTCCCCCTTACTTGGCCTCCATCTCCCTTCTCCATGGGACCCACCTGCTATCCATCTCTCCGCTCCGATGCCCTTCCCTCTTCAGGAATGGCCCAGCCAGTTTCTGGAGTGCCTGGTGGGAAAGTCATCAGAGAACCAGTTTTCTTTCAAGGACCCTCCCCAATTGAGAGAATACAGAATCAGGATATCATAATGCCATTCATGGGGCCTCCCTGGTGGCCTAGGACTTAGCTCACAGCATTACCACCTCTATGGCCTGAGTTAGATCCTGGCCAGGAAGCTAACCCACATATGGTGCAGCAAACCTCTCCAGTCTCTCCTGCTGCTCCCCTCAGCAGCGTATTTTAGTCAACCCACCTAATTTGCTCCCCACGCTGTCTCTGATGAATCCTCTCATCCCTCTCTTTCCACATCTCTGGCCTATACCACAGTTCTTTTACACAAAAGAACCATTCATTGGATTCATATTATGTGCTACTCACTGTGCTTAATATTTTACGAATATTTGCTTAGTCCTTTCTTAAGACAATCCTATGTGTAGATACAATTATCCCTGCTTTATATGGAGAGAAACGGAATGCAAGAAAGCTTAAGTAACTTGTCCAAACTCACACAACTAATATGTAATGTCAACAGGGAGCATAACAGAGATCTGACACAAATCTACCTGATGTAAGGCATTGACCAGAATAGGGTATGTGTGGAGGGTCTCTGCTGGTCAAATAATGTAGGCTAGAACAAAAGAGAAGATTCAGAGAAAGGAGTCCCATACCTGTCCATACTCCCGTTCAATGGCTGCCCTCTGCTTGCTGTAGGATCTGTGGAAATTAGGTTTGGGCTGGTGTTACTGTCTGTCCTGTTCTCCCACCTTTGACCCTCTCCTCAGCCCCGGCAGGAGGAAGAGGGGGACCAAGCCTAAGTGTGACTACAAGTGTGACTACACCCAGAGGGAAGAGAGAGTCCTTGAGATCACCTCAGGGTAGCAAGACAACCTCACCTCATTGCTCAGAGCCTCAGCAGGATCTTCCCCACCCCTGGAGAACCATCTGTGGGCATGGTGGTGAGGATTGATGGGGGCCTGAGGACAGTGTCCACCAGCCTTCCAACAGGTCTGGAAGAGGGAGGAGGATTCTGCCCTAAGCTTGATAGTGGGGGGTAAAAGGAATGGTGTGGAATCGAGGGGGATGAGGGAGGGTCCCTATGTACTTATGTGTGTTAGGGTGTAAGGGAGAGTAATTTCTTTCAGGTATGTAGAGGCAGGCCTAGAGTGAGGGATGTGAAAGGTTGGAGAGTCTTCAACCCTGGGCACACCTCCCCGCTTCCCGCCTGGACTGACACATGTTGGGGGAAAGATGAAGGGCATGCCACACCGAGGTGAGGGAATGTGGAGAGGAGCAGAGGCTACCTGATGTCCTCCAGCAGATCTGCCTCCCTCTGCTGCCGCGTCTGAAGGATGCTCAGCTGCTCTAAGAAGCGAAGCTTCACCTCCTGAACTGGCTTCACCTATGGGAATAAGAAAAGGTTGAAGACCCCGGCGCCAGCAGGACCAGAAAAACACCCCGCTCCCGGAGCAGCAAGGGGGCGGGGCCGGGGAGGGGCTGAGCTGTTTCCTCGGTTACTTCTGTGTTGGGCCCAGACCCTTTCCCACTCCGGGTCCCCGACCACGGGTCCGGTGCCCGCTGGCACCCGCCACTCCCTCCAACCCGCCAAGAATCCCCACTCCCAGCCCAAGCTCACTTTTCGGGGCGGCGGCTGCATCTCCGCTCCAGCCGGGGCAGCGACCCGGACTCCGGAACTCGAGGAAGCCTCGCCCACGCGGAAGCCCCGCCCCCGGCCCGCGCCGCCCTCGCCCCGCCCACGACCGTCCGCTTGGCAGCGCGGTCGCGGAGCGCGAGGGGCGAGGAATTCAACCTGTGTTTTTGCTGCCAATGCTCAGAGAGGGCTGGCCGCCGAGTGGACGCCGCGTCCACTGGGCGGTAGGGGATACCTCAGGTTTCTGAGTCAAGACGCCTGGATTCTATTTCTAGTGGAGCCGCTGACTCAGCCCGTAATTATTTCTTGTTTTTCATTTACATATGCAGATCTCCAGTCTCTGATCGGAGAGTGCAGAAAGGTGAGGACATCCATCGGTGACCAGAGAAACTGAGTCACTGGGATGCCTGAGCGCTAAGATACGAAGATACGTCTGGAGAAGGCAAACAGGGCTGGTGCCAGACCTTTTCCCAATTCCCACTGAACTGGAAAAGCCAGCGAGAGTTGGAGTGTGCCAGACGCCTGGAGCCAGGAAGGAACCAGACTGAGAGGAAAAGACAGGTACATCCCTGGCCAATGGAAACTCTGGAACTGGGAGATAAGCATAAGGTGCTGTGGTCCCGAAAGCCCCTGTCACTTTTAGGGTCTGCCTTCAGACTCTGCAACCCCAGGATCTAGCAGCTAAGCTCCCCTGGCGTCCCCGCACTTCCCCCCCACACACACACCCCATCCCCCCTACACACACAAACATACCCCTGACTTGGAAAAACCAGTTAGTTACCTGTGCTCCCAAACTCCATTCATATAACCAATACCCAGTGACATCACCACATATATTTCTAGTAAGGACCTCATACTTTTAAAGGGTCTCCAACCTGATCCTTCCTCAGGTAACATTACATGGCACTACTCTCCATTCAGTTAGGAAAGATAGAAATCCAGAGTCATTGTGTCCTCTCCCCTACCTCCACATTCCATCTGTCAGCAAATCCTGTAAGTTCTATTTCTAAAAAATACCTCCTATTGATCCACTTCCCTCAATTTCCAAAACCACTGACCAAACTCCCATTTTCAATCTCCTGGTCTCCTTGCTCCCACTCTTCCCTTCTCCAAGTCATCATTCACAAAACAGTCAGAGTGATACATTTTTTTTTTTTAAAGAAATGTGTCATCAGGCTTACCTGGCGGTGCAAGGGGTTAAATCTTAGCATTATGAAACTATCCACAGCCACTACAGCACAAATTCCATCCCAGGCCAGGAACTAAGCCACATGGTGCAGCAGACCTTTACTATCTTGCCTGCTGCTTTCCTCAGCAGTGTGTTTCAGTGGATCTGCCTGTTCTGCTCCCCACTCTGTCTCTGGTGAGGCCTCTTACTCCCTGCCCTGAACCTCTGGCCTGTACCCCAGTTCTTTTAAGTAAATAAATCTTAAAAATAAAGAGATTTGTGTCCAGTAGATAAGATCAATAAGACATGGTATATCACCCTATGGAATACTATTCAACCATAAGAAAAGATGAAACACAGCCATTTCAACAAAGTGAGGGAGTTTGAGAGAATTACATGTAGTAAAGCAAGTTAGAATGGTTACAAATGAACATTGGACATTTACACAATAGATGACTTAGGTAATATAAAATGCTTTCAAAAACCAGTGAACAACAATAAGCTTGGTTCTACAATGGGGGTTGGGAGGGTTGTTTGTGAAGGAACAGGAAAATATGAGAGATGATGGTGGGAGATAAAAAGGAGAACAGCCAAGATCATGAAAAACAAAAAGGAACTACCATATCATTTCCCTCCTTAAAACATCTTGACTGCTTCAGAATAAAATTTGAATGTCTTTGAGCCCTGTGTATCTTTCTCCTTCAGCCCTTATTTTTCTCTGCTTCCCAATCTATGCGTCTCAGTCATACCCCCAACAGGCCCTTCCCCACAGAGTCTTCATGCCTATTGCTTTCATCTGCAGGCGTGCCCTCTCCCAGCACTCCACATCTGGCTTCTTCATGTTTCATCTTTTCACACAGGGCTTCCAGATCTGCCCAGCCTAAAGGTCATTTCCCACAATCAGGCTCAAACACATCACTATGATGGAGTTTCTTCGTAGCACTGAATTTGTGTATTTTTTGTTTCCCTCTACAATGGAATGACACAAGCTATATGCAACTTCTATCGATGGACAAATTCCAGATGGAGGGGAAATGCTCTGAAAAATCAGAATTTCCATACTAACTTATGTTATGACCTCCCTTTTTTGTAATATCAAAATATTCTACGCAACCATCAGGCGCTGCCTGGCTCAGGTAAGCAAGCGCTGCCCCAAGACAGAAAATTCCTCTAGAAAGCAAAAAATAATATTACAACTGGCTGATTAATAAAAGCAATTATTACAAAACCAATATTATAAGACAAGGTAGTACTAGAACATGCTAAAAAATAATTAAAGTTCTTTTACTGCCAGACAAGAACCCAAATCTACTCTCTTACTTAAGCTTTTATTGCTCAGTCTTTAAATGAAGAATCTTACTATCTCCCTTAGTGATTTATCTACCAGAAAACTCCTCCACCCTAGTCTTCAACTTTACTTTACCCTCTTTCACAACTTCACCTTGGCCCACAACCTCACCTTATCCCCCTTCACATCTCCAGCCCAGCCTCCACCCTAGTCCTCAACTTTACTTTACTCTCTGAGATGTCTCAATGAGAATGAAGATCCTTAGTAGCATTTAAGGTTTAAAGGGACTTTATTTTAGCCAATCAACACTGTGGTAAATATAACAATGTTAGCCTTAAATTTTATGAATTTGTGTACCTAGCCTAACTTTAATAGATTGATTTTAAGAATAATAAATGTTATAATCTCAGCTGGACAATACAACCCCAAACTGTTTTTAGAAAAAAAGATGATTATAATCTCTCAGCCTAGTTCATGTGCTGATGTCATCCCACTGCTTGTTCCTAAAGTATAAAATAAACTTCTGCTAAGAGCAGAACAGGAAGACTTGCACCCAACTCCAATTCCTGTGTCTTCCTCGCGCCCGCTCCCCCTTTTGTCCTTTTTCCCCCTTTCTAGGAATCTCCGCTCGAGGATGCCACCCCCACTTTGAGACCCTGCCAGTTCTGCCCTCAACAACCCATGACTGGGATGGTTCCCAACAGTGGAAGCTCCATAAGAGCAGGGACTCCCATCCTTTGGGTTCAGACAATATCCCAGCTTCGACCACCAACTAGGTGTTCAGTATATCATAGTTGTTGAATAAATGAATGGACAAATGAATGAATGAATAAAAGAAGGGTATCTTTTTGGTTCCAAGGTTTATTAACAGTAACCTGTCCTTTTTGTTTTTTGGGTTTTTTTTTTGCCCCAACCTCCAAAAAAAAACAACCTCCCCACTCTAGGGCTTCAATGCAGTTGCTGAATGTAGGATGTGGGGTACAGCAGACTTGGAGATCATTCATATTTCTTTTTTTCATATCTTTTTCTTTGTTTGATGCATAAAACAAATTTTTAAAAACCCAAACCTCTCACAGAACCCCTACATACCATATATGTAAAGCAGAGGTTGTCTTGTTGAAGGAAAATATGTAGGCCTAAAAGGTGAGAGAAACAGTTTGACATTCACTGCTCTCCTTATCTTGGTTACCTCTGAGTACAAGCTGAGGCCCAGAGAGTACCATGACCTGCCCTCTCTGAGTAGGACATAGTATCTGAAGTCCTCAGTCTTGTGCTCTTTTAGCACCACTTGGATTCTGAGATCATTTCAGCCAGAGCCAAGAAAGTCCCCAGTAGTGTCGGCCATGGTGACAGCTTGGATCTTTGGATTACCAACCCACTCAGACTGCCAGTCCCAGAGTCATGTGAGGGGCTGACTGGAGGGTGAACCGGAAGTGCAGGGTGGTTGGGTGGGGAAGCCAGATATCTGCGTTGGAAGGTTCTTGGGGCTTGGGGCCTGGGGGCTGGAAGGCTGGGAAGAGATGCCCAGGCCTGTGGTTGTTTCCCCCTTTCTCAGGATGAGGCTGTTGAGCTCTTGGAGCAGCTGGTCCTCCAAGGTCCCATGTGCCTGGGGACTACTCTTTGAAGGGGGGCCAGGTGGGGGCTCAGGGGGCCTTTCCTCCTGGCCCAGGGTTCTTGCCTTGGAGAGAAAAGATTGATCCAAGGACATCTGGCTGGCAAAAGGGATCTTTGGTTTGGCTGTTTCCTCTCGCATGGTGGCAGAGGAGGTAGGGGTGTCCTCAGTCAGCTCAGGGAAGGCCCCCACTTCCTCATATACTGGCTCTTCATACACAGGCTCCTCCAATTCCTCTTGTTCCTCCACAGACCCCTGGGATGACTTCATTGGCTGGATGGGGTGACAGGAGGCAGGTGTGGAGTTAGAGTGGTCAGATTATTAATCACTAACATTTATTGAGCTCTTTCATTCTCTACTCATTCATTCAGCAAATATGATGTATTTATTAAGCTCTGGACCAGAAAAATACTTTGTGAGTATGATACCCAAGTAACTCTTCGTGATGGGATTTCTGTAGGTGAGTGAAATGAGGTCCACAGAGGTTGAGTTGTCCAATCACACAACGAGTAAATGGTAGAACTGGGGCTTGAGCCTGGGTCTGTCTGATTCGAACAAGCATTCACTTAACTACTTTCCTTCTATTTCTCAGATCCTATGACTACTTCACCCCTTCCTCATCACATCCTATCATCCCTCATTTTCCTCATCCTTTCTGGCTCCAACACTCTCCTCTCCCTCCCCTCACCATAGATGTCCCGCATACATTAGGACAAATATAGAAAGCAGCCCTGGCTCAGGCAGCACAGAGGAACACAGGGCTGAGGCATGCAGCTGGAGCAGGCACAGTACTCACAAAGAACATGGACAGTGTCCTCCGGTTGTGAAGTCGCCGCTGGGCACAGGTGGGATGGGGGTGTGGGGAGGGAAAGACACAGACAGTGAGTCCTTGGCAACAGGAGACAGGAGTGGGGGCACAGAGAAGGCAGCACTGCTCCCTCTTGCAGAGTGTCAGGGACATGGGCAGGATTACTTGGGGTAGGCTGGCGGGACCTCACCAGCGTCTGATTTGCAGAGAGGAGAGTGGCGCCACTGTCATCTCCACGAATGGGCAGCAAAGGCATGGTGCCAAACTTTTGACGGGCAAGGTCAGAGGAGGACCGGCGTCGTAGGACCACTGGCTGTTGGTCATCATGCTGGAGAGAGGGTGAAGGGTTGGCATAGTTGGCATGGGAGGTACTGAGGAGTATAGTTGGGCTCATTGACTTAGTGTCCTCACCTGGGCTTTAAGGATGCTGGTGGCCCAGTCCCACATCTCATCTTCATCAGTGCAGGACAGGTAGCTGAGAGTGTGGTCAGAGGGGTATTAGCAGGAGGGGAAAGGGGCCATTGCTACAGGGATGGAGGATGGGAAGAGCGAGGAGATGGAGGACAGGGAGTAGGGATAGGCCAGAGTAGAAGACAGGCTGGGAGGTACTCACAGATGCATCTTCTCCAGTATTAACGTGAAGCCCCACCTAGGACGCAAAGAATAGTGATGGGTGATCAGAAAGGCCAGAAGGTCACATGGTGGCAGAAAGGCCCTAGAAGTGTGGGTAGGGGGAGAAAACTCACGGTGTTGGAGGCTTTAACTTCTTGCGGATTCCCAGGTAGACTTTGGCACCTTCCAAAGGCCATTCCCGTTCTGGTTTAGAGCTCTGCGAACATAAGTAAGGCAGTGAGGGTGAGAAGGATCACCTCAAGGTGAGGTCAAGATGTCATGGAAGCACTGGGGTTATGTGATGATAGGATCAGACACATCAAGGTTCAGGGAAACAATAAGATTGAGGAGAGTATAGTTTGAGGAGCACAGTCACAACTCCTCCCACATGACCACTCATAGCCCTCTCCACTGCAGCAAGGCCTCACCTTCTTCTCCTTAAGTAGCAGCAGACAGCGTCCACGCAGCAGAAAGAACCTTTCTTGGAAACGGTTTCCTAGCAAACGGGGCAGCTCCTCCCGACACCGTAACAGCCCTACCCTTGGGCTCTCACGAGGGATACCTGGGCACAAAAGAGCAGGGCTAGGTCGAGGGTTCTAGGAGTGAGAGCTGGGGCTATAGGCTAAAGATGGTGGCTCACCTGTGAAGAGGCAGCTGGCCTGAGATAGGGAGACTTTTCTCAAGAGCAAGGAAGCTGAGCCAGGCTCTGGAAGGTGGCACCATTGTAAAGCCTGCTCTAGGACCCTTTCCTTGGGGTGCAGTGGTCGCTCTAAGGGGTTTGGAGAGGCAAGTATCAATCAGAGTACCCATCCACAGAGTACCCATCCACCTCATCTCCCAGCAGTCAGCCATCCAGCCACAGGCATGCATCTAAGCACCATCACCTCTGTGCCAAGCAAGATGCTGGCCCTGGGGATGTAACAGTGAAAAGAAAACAATTCTAGGTAGATTTGCCATAAGTTTTTAAACATGTCCCTTGCATAACTAAAAAGTTGTAAACTTTCCCCAAAAAAACAAGAGATAAAATCATGAAAAATAAAAGAAGCACGTTAATTAAGAAGGAAATAGAACATGCAAAGTTAACAACAAAATTAAAAAAAAAACTCACAAAAAAATGAAAAAGTATTTGGATTTTTAAAAAAAATTTTCACCATTTCCAAGAAATGTACACATCAAGATTCATATAACTGTTACTTTTGGGGGGCCTAAAAGGAGCCTGAATCTTCTTTTGCCACCTGTTTCTAATATTGCATGATAAACCAGGTAAAAGGGAAGCTGCCACATCTAAATTAGCTAAAGAAGTTGTTAATGAACGCTCTGGAACACTGTCCTGAATTATGTCCTGAATATTTTCCATAAGCTTGGTAAACTTTTGGTTTTAAGGCGTGCAAAAGAGGAGTGGTCACTGAGGGATTTGCAAACTCACATTAGCATCTTCTGGCATAGTGGGTAGCTAACCTGGCCTCACACTCTTATTTCATACTTCCGATAAGTTCTATCACCAAATTTTCTATTAAGCTGGAATATGTAGCTGTCGTCCATTTATTTTTTTTTTTAAAGATTGTACTATTAGGGCCCTCCATGGTGGCACAGCGAGTTAAAGCACAGCACTGAGGAGCTAAAGCCACTTCAGCATGAGTTCGATCCCAGCCTACCCCAGAGGTGACCACATGTCGTTGCAGACCTCTCCTGACCAGCCCACTGCTCCCCTCAGCAGTGTACTTCATAGATCTGCCTGTTCTGCTCCCCACTCTGTCTCTGGTGAAGCCTCTCACCGCCCCTGAGCATCTGGCCTGCACCCCAGTTCTGTATGAACAACAACAACAAAAATATTTTAAAAAAGATTGTACTATTATTACTATTACTTTGTGTAGGCCAGAGGTATGGGGAAGTGGGGTGAGGGTGAGAGGATTCACCAGAGACAGAGTGGGGAGCAGAAAAGGCGGATCTACTCAAATACACTGCTGAGGGAAGGCAGCGGTGAGGCAGGAGAGGTCTGCTGCGCCCTCTGGGTCACCTCCCTGGCCAGGATCACCCACAATTTTAACACCACCATGTCCACTGATAACAGTTCTAGGACTAAGATTTATAAAATGTGGATACAGAAGTACTGGGTGGCTTGAAACCAAACTTGAAGCCAAATCGTCAAACTCCCTGTCAATCAAGTAAGTCGACCTTTTACGGCAAAATTGCCTTACGGCCGATTAGTTTTGCGGCAAAAACCGTTTGCGACAAAAAACGCTTGTGACGAAAAAACACTTGCCGCGCAAACTCACGGCGGATCTATTGGACACGGCATGAAACACAAAGCCCGCCGCCTCTTGAGGGAGCTGACAGTAAACAGGCAAGTAAGCAAAATAATTGTAGACTAATAACGGCTTTGAAAGCCACAGTAAGAAGCTGAGCGAGAGTAGCAGGGCAGTTCCTGAGACAGGCGCCGCCCGCCCGCAAGGCCTCTCAGAGGGGCCTGGGAGATGCGACTCGACTCGGGCTGGAGAACTAGGAAGCGCCAGTCACGCTGAGGTTAGGGAAAAGAAGATTCCAGACATAACAAGATGTAGAGGCCCTGAGGCAGGGGCATATCTGAGGAATGAAAGAGCCGGTGTGGCTGGAACAAGGAGAAAAGGGAGAGCGTTATGAAATCTGAGAAATATGGAAGGGACCGAACTTCAGGGTCTTGTGAGCCCAACAGGAAATTTGAATTTTATTTTAAGTTTAATGGGAGGTCGTTGGGAGGTTTTTTGCCTTTTTTTTTTTTTTTAAAGATTTTATTTATTTTTGCTTCGAAGAACCACGGTGTAGGCTAGAGACACAGTGGGAAGCAGAACAGACGGATCGACTGAAAAACACTGCTGAGGGGAGCAGTGGGTGCGACAGGAGAGGTCTGCTGCGCCTCGTGGGGCAGCTCCCTGACCAAGGATTGAACTAAGGCGGCGGCGGCGGTGGTGATAGTGCTGAGACTTAACCCGTAGGCCATCAGACAGGCCCCGTTGGGAGGTTTAATCTTGGGGAGGGCATGAACTGATTTATGCTTGGAATGCTTATTTGGCTGCTGGATTTACAGTGGATTGGAAGGAGTCAACTCTTCACTTTCTTGGGTGCACATTTTTTGTGATGAATGTTAGGGAGCAGAAAGATTATGGCAACTTTAACTAAGGTGCTGGTAATGGTGGAGATGGTGAGAACTGATTGATTTACATAGGGTCGGCAGGACAAGTTGCTTGGGTTGGGTATGAAGAGAAAGGGAAGGGAACAGCCTCAGAGGACTTCCAAGATTTTGGCCTTGAAAGCTGAGTGAATGGTGGTGCCACTGACTGAATTAGGAAAAACTAGGAAATTACCTGGGCCTTTTGGTAGGGGAGGGGCTGGGAATTGAGTTGTTCTTAGACATTTAAAATTTTAAATGCTTTATGTGACATATGAAATGGATATGCAAGCCTGGAGCTCAGAAGAGAGGTCTAGGTCAGAGATAAAAACTGAGGTGCCGGCTTATTAGTGACATTTAAAGCCATGCATAGACAAGCTTACCCAAGGAGAAATGTAGGCAGAAAAAGGAAAAGAACTGAACACTGAGTCCCTCCAACATGTGGAGTCTGGGCAAAGGAGAAAGAGAAACCTCCAAGAAGGGTTTGTGGGATACATAAAAGCTGAGAGAGTAGAGAATATTTAGAAAGACAGAATGTCAGCTGAGTAGCATGCCCCCTCGCTTCCTGAAGACAGAGTGTCCATCAACTGTGTTTGATAACACAAAGGTCATAATTGCCTGACTCCTGCTTATGTGCACAAGTACACACACAGTCTTACTTACCAAGCTCCCCATGCTCTCTGATCTCAAAAGTCACCCACAAGTCTGTTCCAGCTGCTGTGCCCCTCATATCCAATACCTGGTTAGTCAGCTCTTCAGCAGTCAGTGTTGGGGACACCTGGGGTCAAGGCAAGAGCAGAGGACCTGTACTGGTCAGGCCATTGTCCCTACCCCCCAGCATGCTCTCATGTCCCTTCCTGTCCCCTCAGAACTTACCTTCAGGGTGACACAGTTGTCTGGCAGTTGCTGCTCTATATAAACCTCCATGATAATGTCTCCAGCCTGGGACAGCTAAGGGGAGAAGTTAAGGAAGTCAGGAGGACACAAAAGATGCCAAGAGTCAAGGTCAGAGTATTCCTCACATTGCATTATGAGTGCTTCTCCCACTAACGTCTCCTAACCCTTATCCCTAGTATCACTCAGAAGAGAGAACCCCGAGACTGGTGGGATTACAGCTTCAAGCTGTGTAAGAGGCTTCCCAGATGTGTAGCATAGTGCTTGGAAGGACAGATCTGGACTCATACTGTTGGTGTTCTAACTCTGCTACTCACTATAGTACAACCTTGAATAAGTGACCTTTAGATCTCAGCTTATATATTTGAAAAAAAATGAAACCATCCACTTCTTGGAGTTGTGTGATGATAAAATGAGATTATAGGTGTTTGGAATATGGCAGGTCCCTAGCTGTTTGCTACTGTACTTAATATTATTGTTACCTCCTTGTCTCACCAAACGATTCCTTGGATTTCTGTGTGCCTAGAGTACTTCTACCATCATCTTATAATGAAGAATCCTCATGTTGGAATGAATGGAACAAATCCTAGACCAAATGTCTCCCTTCAATGAACTCCCCTTTTTTGGTATCCCCTGTGTTCCAGAGAGCTGAGGGCCAGTTTCTGGAATCAGGTCAGCTTCCAGTCTTGATGTCCCCCTTCAGGCCCAGTCAGGAGTCTAAAGTCAGGACACATTACCTGCACATCCTTCCAGGTGGTGATAAGACTGACCTCCAAGTCAATCTGCGCTACCTGGTCAGAGTCGATCTGTGGAACAGTCACAAGGAGAGTGGTGGGTGTGGGTGGGGTGGGGAGTGAGTGCTGGGACAGTAAGGAAGCAGGAGAGAAGACCAGAGAACCTGCATGAAAGGGTCAGAGGTCAGAAGAGCTACACGCCACTGGGGAAAGGATTTTAGGAGGTAGGTTATAGGAGACAGGGGTCCTGATGCAGTGGGCCTTCAAGAGGGCTGGCCTGGGTGTTTGTTGGGTGACCAATTCCAGAGTCTAGGAAGAGGAGTTGTAGGTCAGGGGCCAGGAGAGCTTACGTCAAAGACAGAGATGTAGTTGTCGATGAGATCCTGCAGCACCCGCACCTCGTGCTCCCCCCGCCCATCTGTCTGGAACACACTGGGTGCGAACAACAGGGCCAAGTTCCTCGTGCACATATGGTTTAGAGCTGCACACTTCTGCACCCTGTGGAGGGGCGTGAGAGTCATGAGGAATACAATGGGTGCTCATTCATTCACTTAACAAAAACTGTGTGCCAGGCCTGGGCTATGCACTTGGGATATAGCAGTGAGTAAGCCATGCTACTGGTCTCCAGGAGCTCCCAGTCTTGGGTGATGATAAATACAGCACGGGGTCAGGAAACCTTTCATGTAAAGGAACAGATAATAATCTAGGCTTACAGGCCATGCAGTATCTGCTGTTGCAATGTTCAAGGAACAACAGAAAAAGTAAGAGTAAATGGGTGTGACTTTATACTTTTTGTACAAAACTTTATTGATAAAAACAGACATGGGCTGGATTTGGCCCACAGTTGGCAGTCCCTGTGTCAGAGTGTGATCAGCACAACATAGCCAGGGTTCACCTTGAGTCACCCAAAGACCCTTTCCCTAAACAGTGAAGGCGAATCTGCATCTTACTCCTCTTTGTGTTTCCTACATCTAACCCTTTGCTTGGCATAGAATAATCAAATGAATTTGAATGCTTTCTGAATGCTTACCACATACAGGCCAGGTTCTGGAATAAAACTTTTACAAGGATTATCTCACTCTCATAGAACCTATGAGGTGGATACTCTCCATCACCTCATCTTCCTTTTTTACAGATGAGGAAACTGACTCAGCAAGAACAAATAACTTGCTCAAAGTAACACACTAGAACGGGGCGGCCAACTTACGGCCTAGGTTTCTCTCCCCAAAGTCCATGCTCTGAACCTTTACACTGTAACACCTTCACTGGGCACTGAATGAATGAGGGTAAGCAGAGGCTGGAGGAGGGGCCAGTGTTAGTGAGGAGCCTGCAGGGCGTCTGGTCATACTCACCGGTAGAGATGCCCAATGAGGGTGGCCAGTGTGCGGCGGTTGACCCGAGGAAGGCAGCCAATTACTTCTTTGTATTTCTCCAGGCGCTGATTCTTCAGGAGCTGCTCTGGGGATGGAAAGGGAGAGAGTTAGAGAAGATCAGAGAAGGGAAGGTGGAAGGATTCTAAGAGAAACAAATCCAGGTTAGATATGTCTAGCTCCCTTTCCCACTCAGCCCTAGGTGTTCCTCTAGGGTAGGCAGAGAGGGGCTTCCCAATCCCACAAGGGCCCTTGTGGATTCTAGAGGAGTAGATGGAGTTCCTGGTTGGGCTGCGGTTGCCTGTGAGTTCTCAGGGATCTGGGGAGTACCAGCAGCCTCCCTCCAGCGAGGCAGCAACCGTGCAGAGGTCACAGGGTCATCCAGTTCTCGGAAGAAGCGTTTGAGTGTGTCGGTGACATCCTCCACAAAGTGCTCCCCTGGTCTGAGCTTCACTGATCTGGCATCCCGCCGGAACTCTTCCAGGAGTCTCAGACTGCGGGCACGGGCACCCCCTTTCCGATACACGCCTTCCAGCCGGAGCCCTACATGTGAACAGGCAGCATTTCTGCTCACCACTCCCCAAAGAGCCACCACCACCCACCCAGCACTCATCTGTGAGCCCACTATATGGTACGTGACTATTTGGGGTGGGGGCTCCTCAGGTTTCCGAGTCCTCATCTTCAGAAAGTCATTCCCTAGCCACATTGTCACTTATAGCAGCCTCATTACTCTATGTCCTCACTATTTCTTTTTTTTTTTTTAAGATTTATTTATTTATGCGTATAGAGCTGGGATACAGGCCAGAGGTGTGGGGGCTGTGAGAGGATTCACCAGAGACAGAGTGGGGAGTAGAACAGCCAGAATGACAAAGCTCACTGCTGAGGGGAGCAGCGGGTGAAACAGGAGAGATCTGCTGCACCATGTGGGTCACCTCCCTGGGCAGGGATCGAACTCATGCTGAAGCGGCTACAGTTAGCTTCATAGTGCTGCATTTTAACCTGTTGCGCCACCAAGGAGGGCCCTTTCCCTACTACTTTTATATTTAAATAGCACTCCCTAAAATCACATTATAAAGTCCCCTTTATCTGTGGCTTTGCTTTCTGTGGTTTCAATTATTCCAATAAAACTGCAGTAGGAAAATATTCTAAGCAACAAGATGTTTTGAGAGAGAGACCATATTCACATAACTTTTATTACAGTGCATTTTTATGATTCTGGTTTTTATTAGCTGCTGTTAATTTCTAACACCTCTAATATTTACTTACAAATTAAGCTTTATCATAGGTATATACAAATAGGAAAAAACAGTCTCTGTATGAGTCAGATTCAATCATTTGCTGTGTCTTCGAACACATCTCCCAAGGGTTGGGAGGGCCTACCCTAAGTCAAACCTTGCTTGCATATTCAGTATTTATGAACCTGTATGCCGCTAAAATTCATTTCTTACCCCCAAAACAATACTTGTAGCACTATTGCAGTCACTTAGCGAACATAAGCAGAGAAAAATTGGAGCTGCCTGTTACACGTTTCCAGCTGACGTGTCCTGCTATAAACAAGTGTAATTTTTGTGGTATATTTAGATCCATGGTTTTGTTTTCTTTCTGCATTCTTATGCTTTTTACGGTGACAGTGTCAAGTGTTGTCTGATGTTCCTAGGAATGGGGAGGTCAGGATGTACCTCATGGAGAAAATATTTAGTACACTAGTTCTGACTAGCATGGGTTATGAAGTGCCGTCAGCTGTGAGTTCTGTGTCAACAAATCAACAGTATATATTGAATAAGGTGCCTTTAAATGGAAACACTTACACAAGGATAGGTATTGATTGGTTGATGAAAATGTGACCAGAGGTTCCCAGGAACCTTGCCCTGTTTTTCCACTGGGGCAGTCACTAGGCGTCCATTAAATTCAGTAACGCGGTAACTTTACAGAAGATAACTACAGTGAATGGCGAGAGTAGCCTGAATCTTTTTCTTATTACCCAATTCTCCTCCTAGTCTCTGACCTTCATAGACCCTCACCTGGTCCAAGTATTCTCACTCTTGGCTCCCCAGTGTCTGGCACATGGAAGCAGCTCAGTAAATACCTCTCAAGTGGAGGGGTAGGTGTGACCACCCGCTCTTTCTCCTGGGCTTTTCCCCTGGGCCTCTGACTTTGAACACAGGGAAGTTGAGAGGAGGGTGGGGTTGTTGAGCAAGGACATCACTGCTAGAGAGTGTCATTAGCCGCTGACTGCCTGCTGTCTCCTTGTAGGTTCATGAGTGTGTCTTTCACTTACCCGCTCTCATTACTCCCGCCCTTTACTGCCCTCACTATTTCCTGTGAAATTCCTTCTCAAGAATCCAGCCTTCTAAAGGGGGTTCACCAGAAAGATAGATTCAACTTATAGTTGTGCTGGAAAATAGAGTAGAAGCCAAAAACTCACAAGTTCTGGGAACCACTTGCAGAGCTGACGCTCTGTGCCTAGAAGACTTCCCACACAGAGTAATTCTGCTCCAGCCTCCTTCCCTTCGCAGCTGCCCCCCTTGTTCTCTGTGGCTCTACATCTCCAGTCACCTTCAGTGCCGGTCCTCCTCCATGCCCATGTGCCAGTTTCAGCTACCTCGGGAAACCACCTGTAAGTCCTGTGCTAACCCTTTACCTGCGTTAACCCTTTACCTGCGTTGTCTTACTATCACAATCATCCTGTACGATGAAGACTGTTAGTAGCCCTGTTTTACAGATGAGGGACTGAGGCTCAGAAAGGCAAAGCAGCTTGCCAAGGGTCACACTGCTGGTTGCTGTCAGGCTGCAGGCTCTGTAGACAAAGCTCTTGAGTTCAGATCACCCCCCACCCCATGGTCCAAAGCCATGTTCCCTGCACCCCACTGCACCCCATGCTCAGTGTCAGCTGGTTCCCACTCACCATGTTGAGTGACAAAACTGATGCAGGCGTCCACAATGATGGGGATGTCACCTCTGCTCATCTGCTGCTCCTGTAGCCCTGTGCCACCCCCTCCGGCAGCACCCCCAATGGCTGTGTTCCATGCTGAGAAGTCCAGCCGGCCCTCCCCCTGCAGATACAGGGTCCTGAGACCCCAGAAGCCTGAGTTAGAGCCAACCCCAACTGGCCCTCTGACTTAGAGGCACGGGAACACAAGGACCTGACTTCCAAAATCACCAGCAGGGGGCAGCAACACCCAACTCAAACTGGGACTCTGAACTAGGGAAGCAACTTTTGAGGAAGTGGGCAGAGGTCCAGCAGGCCAGGTGGAAGGTGTGGGCTGAGCCCTTGAAAGAGGGGCCCAGGATCAAGGGTAGGGGCAACAGTTACCTTCCTGTCTCTACTAGAACCAAATGCTCCTTCTTGTCAGGGGTGTCAGCTGCAGGGACAACACCTGGGAGGAGAACCAATGAACATTATCATTAATGTCTACATCCTAGAGACTAACAGTTATTAAGTATTTAATGGTATATAAGTGCCAGACTAGGAGTCTTAAAAGAATGCTGCATTAAATCCCATGAATTGTAAAATACTATCCCCCATTTTACAAGCTCAAGCTCAAAGAAGTTAAGTCACTTGCCCCAGATTACTTACAATAAAATAACCGATCTGAGTTGAACTCAGGCCTCTTTGTCTCCAGAGCAAGCCCTAAACTATCCCTCACTGTTCCTATTTTAGGAGGAAGTGAGAATATTCAGTCCCCTCTCCCAGTCTCCAACCAGCAAGTGACTCCAAATGATGATGATGTTATATATCACTTACAACATACAACACTTGTTGGACACTGGCAGGATCGTGAGAGGTGTTTTACATGCATCACCTTATTTGAAACTCACTACCATTTGATTATTGTGCCCATTGTAAAGTCGAGGAAATAAAAGCACAGAGAAGTTAAGAAACTTGTACAAGGACACACAGTTAGGAATTGAGAGAGGTGGGGGCCTAAATCAAGACAGTTTGACTCCAGAACTTGTACCTAAATCTACCGTGTTCTGCTGTTTCCCATAGGAACCCCCAAATAGAAGACCCTTCATTCCCCACTATGGCCACTTTCACCCCTACCCCTCCCCTGCTCACTGATCTCCTGTAGCCGCCGCAGATGCACCATGTCCTCAGGGGCTGGGGTGCCAGGGCCCGGCGCTGGACACAGGAAGAGATGGTCACCACGAAGAAGGCCGAACCCTGATAGCCAGAGGCCGGAGGCCAGGGCTGTGTGGGAGGGGGACCGCAGCCACAGGCGGCCCAGGCGCAGCAGCCCAGGGCCCAACAGCTGGTGACAGCTCAGCGGTGAGAACCACTGCAGAGGCAGGAGAACAGAGGGAAAGGGGACAGGGAGAAAGACAAGAGCGGGGATAGTGAGAGGCAACAGGGAGGGCCGAGAGAGAGCAGAATGGAAATGGGTGGGGAGAGAGTAGAGGAGTCATCCAAGGAAGAAAGAAGAGATGGATGGGGAAAAAACAGGGAAGAACTCAATTCAGTTTTCCAGTCAACACAGAGAAAACCCCTGTGCGGCAGCCTCTGTCCTTCGTTAAACATGCTATAACCTTCAGTTATATTTTCAGTCGCAGTACTCCGGGAAATCCCATCATCCCGGGGTCGGGGGAGAGCCTTCCTGGAGAAAGGAGTATTTGAGGAGGACCTGAAAGGAGTGCTCCTCATGTAATCTTTCCAGTTAACGTGTCACCAACTGATACTTTAATAAAAATCAAAAGAGGGACCTCTCTGGTGGCCTAGGGGTTAAGACTCAACACTATCGCCACTATGATCTGAGTTCAATTTCCAGTCAGGGATCTAACCCACAGATGGAGCAGCAGACCCCTTTTGTCTCGCCCGCTGCTCTCCTTAGCAGTGTATTTCAGTAAGCGAACCTTTTCTGCCCCCCACTCTGTCTCTGCTCACCCCCCACATCTCTGGGCCTACACCCCAGTTCTTCTACATAAAGAATTACTGGAAAAGTGAAATAAAACAAAGACAGCATACAGAACATAAGCCCCTGATTTCTGTAATTAGATTCCACACTTAAGATCACCCTTTCAGACTGCTATGAAAGATTCTAAATGCTGATTTGCAGGTTCTTATCCCATCAAGGCTCATAACAAGTAGTTCCTGGGGCACGTATACTGTAATAGTCTATAGCCCTTCTGGACAGTACCAACTTAAAGGATGGGCTGAATTTTTAGAAAGTGTAGGCAATAGTAAGAGGAGACTTGGACCGAGCAGGGAGGGCTATACAGAGCCCTTTTCAAAGGATATGGAGCTGACTTCTTGGCCTGAAGAATTATGGGAGAACCAGAACCAGAGGGTGGAGTCAGGAGCACAACAGCTGAGCATTCTCTAAAGAGGCCTGTCAGGTGCTACAGGAAGACTTGGTAAGACCACAGTACAGCCCTTCAACTTGGCAACTAGCAGTCACTGACCGTCCATAGCACCGGAGCTCAAGAGTGAGGCACAGGAGGGCAGCTGTGAGGGGGTAAGGAGGAACTGCCAGCTGCCCGGTGCACCGCTTTCTAAGAAGCTGTCAGCAGGGTGCCTGGGTGAGGAGTTGAAGGTGGAGCAGAGGGAAAAGCTGCTGCAGGATGGGAGGATTGTCATCACCATTACAATTTCAACACCCACAGATGAAGGGCTTGCTGTGTGTCAGGAGGGTGGGGCTCACGTGTCACTTCAACCTCAGTCCTGTGGGGTGGGTCTTTTCCACCCACTCTATCCATGTTGAAAAGTTCACAAGACAGAGTTGGGAGACTCAAATCCCAGGATGTCTGACTCTAAGGCCTAAACTTTGAATTCCTGGAAGAGGGTGCACAATAGACTAGCTTGCTGGGGATGGGGAAGTGAGGACAGATGAAGGCAGTTTTGCCTCTGGACCTGGAGAGCTTGCATGGGAAGTAGGGGAGAGGAGTGATTAGAGATGGCCCCTGTACAGGAAGAGGCCAGATAGATTTGGGCCTTGAGTTTTGACAGATGCCTCATTTTGGTCCCATGCTTCATTTCCTCTTAGCTCTGTGACCTTGGCCAAGTGACTTCATAATCTCTGGACTCAGTTTCTTTACATGTAAATATTAATAACTCTTTCCTCTGAGGTTATTGTGAGAAGTAAATGAGACATTGAGTGGGCGATGCTTAACACAGCCTGGCACAGGATAAGTGCTCAGTCGACCTTAGCTATTAGTGGGAAGTTTGAGGACTGAGCTGGAGGCAGGTGGAGACTAGGAAAGCATGAGCTATTGTGGGGGGAGGGTCTTGGCTACCTCACCTTGCCCACAGCGCTGGTCCAGGCTTCCAGACTGTCAGCTCCATCTGTGCCAAAATGCTGGATCCTCCCCCCAGTGAGAATGAGCTCAAAGGAAAAGGGGAACCTTGAGAGAAGGTGAAGTCAGGGAGGAAAAAGGGAGTCAATAGTATGGCAGTCAGGCTCAGGAAGGGAAAGGGAGGGCTTGGTGAGCTTGAGGCTGCGGTTACCTGTCAAGGTCACTGGGGTCAGTAGGTGGAGGGCTCACCCCCAGACATACAACATCCTGGGGTTGGATGAGGTTGATGGGTTCAGAGCTGCTTTCTGACACAAACATCTCCAGAGCTGCTCCCAGCACACACCACAGTCGGGAGGGAGCTGAGGGGAGACTGACCATCAGCAGGCAGACCTCTGCCCCCACTGTCAGAAATCCCATTTACAGATATTCTACGGCAAGTCCTCTGCCTCTATACCATCTTACAGAATCTGCACACCAGCCCTGTGTGGTGGATTCCATACTGTTTTGCAGATAGAGAAACTGAGGCTCAGAATTTGAATAATTTGAATAATTTGCCATGGATAGGAAGTAGCAGAACCAGGATTTGAGCCAGTCTGACTACAAAGCACAGGCCATTACTGTCACTCAGTCCTGCCAGGCAGGGCCCATCCTGCCAGGCAGGGCCCCGCCTGCCCCCAGCCTACTTGAGGGTGTGGTCCCACTTTCCCACCCCAGCACACTCATCTTGTCCCTCTGCAGTATATTCTGGTCCACCCCAATTCTTGCCTCCATCTCCCATTTCTTACCATCCCGGCCCCTTCGAGAGGGTGGGGGTCCAGCTTTGTTGCTGATGGGACCACAGTACAGAAAACTGCTGTAAGTGGCAGGTACTACCACCTCATTGTACACGCCAGGGCAGGGGTCTGTAAAGGGAAAAGACATCAGGCCAGGCCAGTGCAGCGAGATGAGCCTAACCCTCTTGGGGGAAGGGGTCACCCCAGGAAGACACTGGGATCCAACTCCCACTGGCAACATGACCAAGTAGAACCCAGGAGGCTGGACCCATCACTACCCAGATTAGAAGAAAGGGTGGCAGGGAATAATGAAATATCTAAGCCAGGCATCGTCCACTGACTCTCCCACCACCAGCCAGCCAGTGAGCTCTGCCCTTGTGTTGTGGCCCCTTGGGCCTGACCGCTACAGACCAGCCTCTCGAAGATGATTGTTTCTGTGATCAGATTGTCCCCTCCAAGTAAGACCTGGCTTGTGGGTTAGCCCCATTGGGGGAGACCAGCTCCAATATCCAGATCCATCCTGTACAGTAGGCACTTTGGTCATTTTATTATATCAGTGGGCTCCAGAGGATCTGGAGGGTTGGAAAACTGCCCAGGTTGGGCTTTCCTGATGGGCTGAGTGAGGGGTTACCTGGGGCTTTCTGAAAGAACCAAGGAACAGGTCAGGGCTGAGAATTCATGCTGGGTAGGAGAGAAGGGAGGCACTTGCAGTCATTACCTGGGGCCAGGAGACCAGGGGAAGTCCCATCGAAGGCTGAGGGGGAGCAGGGCTCCTCACCCTCAGAGGCCTCAACACACAGGATCTGGGTCATGTTCTTCAGCAGGTTGGGACCAGCTACAGCTGCACACAGTGCCTGCAAGGAGGGGAAAGGACCCCAAAGACCCAACCTGAGAGCCCTGGGGACAGCCCTTGATCACCATCAGCAAACTCCAGCCACCCGTTTAGGCATGCCAACTGCTTTCCTCTCTTCCCCTCCGTCCCAATTTGTCCCTCCTACCTGGAGAAGCTGGCTATGATCTGGGTACTGAGGGTGGGGCTTCCGGAAGAGACCCAGCCTGTACTTCCGGGAGATGAACTCTCCCCGAGGACCAGGGGCTGTATCTGGATGCAGTCCCTCTCCTGGAGGTAATGCCCCTGCCCAGAATCGATTGGCACGATCATTTCCCAAAACAATGAACAACTGCAGGAAGACAAGGGGCAAATTTGTGTGACAAGAACTCCAGCGTCTCCTGACATTCCAATCCTGACCCAAGTCATTTTCATACCTCTTCCATCCTGCCCTGCCTCACCTGCACTATCTCATTAGTCCAAACACTTGTGTCCAGTTTCAGGCTCTGTACCTTGGAGATGCCAGAACCCAGGGCCCGGTGCTGACCTGTCAGGGTATGAAGAGGATGTGGTGTGGGTACCCCTGAGCTCTGCTGCCCCAGCCGCCCCTGCCCCTTATTTACCCTATTTCAGCTAAGGGTGCCAGCCTCACCTGCACACTGCTTGCAGATGACCACTCCCAGGTTGACAGCGGCCCAGTCGGGCCGGGAGACCCCACAGTCTGCACAGTGCCGGTTTGCCCGATTGGACCAGATTTTCTCAGCCACCTCGTAGTCAGACAGGGTCTCAGTTACTGCTTCCTGCAGAGCGGCCGCCCAGCTCTGCCGAGCCCCCCCAGACTCGGCTGTGAAGCTGAGGGGTGGACAGCCAGTCTGTGGGCATGGACACCCCCTCAACATGTCCCATACCACTGGCCATTCCCACAGGAGCTGTCACAGGCCACATCTGGACCAACCCAGTCCCTCCTGAGATCCTTGACCCTACTCACTGAACTCCCATTAGTGCACACCCACTGGCGGCCTACTGACTAGGCCTCCAGGCCCCTGTGCCTCCCTCAAAGCCCTCTTTCCCAGCCTTGCTCCTGCCAGTCTGGGCCCCACCTGAAGCAGCGATGGGGCGTGAGTAGGTCAAAGCTGCGACTCTTGGTCTCCCGGACGCTGCAGCCTTGCAGTTCAATGAAACATATTCCGATGCCCAGGGAGAAGGCCTGGGGGGTCAGGAGGGAGGGGGTTTGGGGAATAGGCACATCCCCAGAACAGGCTAGGCCACACCCCTTGGCCCCAGCCCGATGTTCTTCACCTGCTCACTCTTGTACAGTGCCAGCTCTCCAGGGCTCAAGGCAGCAAACACCTTGGCCTTGTGTCCACGCAGCTCTAACAAGCCTGTGCGGAGGGGTCGGGGTGGCTGCGGGGCCCGGGGATGGCCCAGGAGGCGCTGCTCCTTCAGGCAGGACTGCAGTGTGGAGCACCACATGTCCCGCTGAGCTGGTGGGGAATGGGGAAGCATGTCAGAGGTTTGTGTGCTTACACGGCCCCCCAGCTCCCACATTAACCCAGCGGACATCAGCACTCACCCTCGCTTTCCGTGCGAAACACAAACACCCTCTGGCTGGTGATGACCTGAAACTTGTTGTCCTTGCTGCTGCGGGTCATCTCAATGGCAGTCAGAAGGATCACGCCCTTGGGGAAGGGATCCTGGAAGGACAGCCCAGGGACCACAGGGACAGGAACTCAGCCATGCTCACTGACCTCAGGAGCGAGCACCAACTTTCAGTGAGACCTGCACTCAGCCCACAGGTAGTGGGGTACAGGTGCTAACTCAGTCACTGTGTGTTCATCTCAGGCATGTGGTGACCCCTCCCTCACCGTGGGCATTCCTCCTCCCAATTCTTAACCTCCCTCAGCTCTTCTCTCCTCGCTGCAGTCCCCATGAAGCATCCCCTAGACTCTCACCTTGTCACTGCCAAAGTACATAAGACTCCTCCCATTGAATTGCACAAAACGCCGCTGAAACACATAGTTTCTGGGGAGGGGAGGGGCCAAGATCAGCGAGCAGTGGGGGCTGCACCTTGGGGGATGCTTAGGGTCAGAGTACTGGGGACCTGATACCTCCCCCCTCACCCCCTCACCCCCCCACTCCCGGGCCCGCCACCACCTCCCATCCCAGCAGCCCACCCTTGAGGGGAGAGCTTGTCTAGCCAGCCACTGAGCAGCGGTGTGGGACGGTCAGCTGTGGAGGAGAAGCTGGCATAGGGTGAGATGAGGTCATCACTGGTTTCTGTGTCTGGAGTGGGCAGTGAGAGAGTGGAGTCCCCAGGCAGTTCAAGGCTGGCATAGCCTGCATCCTCCCGTGCCTCCAGATCTTGCCTGCTGAGCCAAGACAGAGGGTGACGCACATTAGACCCAGATCCCTGGTCGGTCCACTGTTGTAACTAATAGACTGCCTGGCAGGTACTGGATCTGCTTTTCAAACAAGGAAGTAGGGGGTTGGGAACCCAAAGGGTTAGTACAGTGCTGCTTCCCTGAGCATGCTCAACATTTTATAGGGAAAATATTCATCCCTCTCCTTTCCCATGCATATTACTTGAGGGCAGAGTTGGGGAAGGACTGTAGAATGGTTTCCTACCACGGCTGCCTACATCTAATCAGTAAGTTCTCTCCAGATGTTTTTGTCTTTCTCTCCTTGGACCAAGTTCCCATCCATTCTTAACCAGAGTGATAGGAATTACCTAACTGGTCGCTGGTGGCTTGCTTCCACCCTTGCCCTCCCTCTCACAAACCATTTGAAAATGTAAATGAAATCACTTCACTCCCTGCAGATTTCACTCCCTCTGTGAAACCCTGCAAGAACTTTCCATTTGCACTTAGGATAAATTCAGATTCCTTCCCATGCGCTGCAAGGTCTTGCACAGTGAGACCCAAGGCTTCTTCCCTGACCTCCCCCTTGCTTACTACAGTCCAACCACAGGCTCTTGTTTCTTTCCTTCATATATGCTGCCCCCTCCGGCCAGAACTTGTCTCCTTGGGTTGCTTTTTCTTATCCCTCAGGTCTTATGCCATCCTAGCAAAAGCCTAGTATTCCCTATCACTTTTCAGTGGCTCTTAAATAGCAGCACAAAATCACTTGGGAAACTCAAAAATACACAGAACCAGATGCTTTCAACCTGAACCTCTGGGGGCCCAGTCATGAAGAGTTCCCTGAGCTATGTGCAGCTTGATTGAGGACCACTGTTCTACCCTACTTCATTGAGAAATGGAAGCAATAGGATGAGGACCCCCACAGACTCCCGGTGCCTCATCTACCCAATTTCACACACACCGGGCCCTCCTCCTGTTACTAGATTTACTCTCCTGTCTGAAGTCAGTGCCCCCTCTGTGACTTGATTGTGTTCTTCCCACCCACACGAGGACATCGCGGCAGACTTCTCTTTCTTGCCCTTATATCAACTAATCTGCCTTCTCTACCAGATCATTCCCATCCACCTACAAGCATGTCACATTCCACCTTACAAAAAAACAAACAAACAAAACCTTCACTTTCACTATGAACAGTGGCTCCTACTCTGCTCTTCTTTGCAGAAAAAGTCCTCAAAAGTATCATCCGGCTCCTCTCCTTGCATTTTCTTAAGCCCACTCTGGTTAAGCTCTTCCCTACCACCTGCCAAGGACCCCAGTGACTCTGTGCTGCCAGATATGGAGGTCAGAATACTTGCCTGGACCACTCAGCAGCACCTGACACAAGTGACCTGTCCCTCCTCCGACACTTTCTTCACTTGGCTCCAAATATATCACTTTGTCCAGACTTCCCTTCTACTCCACTGAAGATTTCTCTTCAGTCTGTTTTACTGATTCTTCCCCTTCTCCAAACCTCTTGATAGAAGAGTGTGCCAGGACACCGATCTCATTCGCCTTCTCTATCAACACTTGCACTCAGTTATATAAACCTATCTAAATGTTCGGATTTAGCTCTTCAGTTCAGACCTCTTTCCTGCCGTCCAGGATTGTATATCTAATGGCCAATTTGTCTTCTCCTCATGGTTATATACATACACTTCAAATGCAAAGTATCCAAAACTGAAGTCTAACTCATCCCTCTGGCTTTGCACACCCCCTCCCCCACCCCGGACTATGGTAACTCCAGGTACTTTTAGCTGCTCAGACAGCATCTAACAGAAGTCAGTGTAAAAGACACTTGGCATTTAAAAGTTTCTAGTAGCTCCATCAGTTGTATTTATCCTTTTTTGAACTAAATCTGCTAGTGGCTCTAAGTTCTAGCCATCTCAGTTCCAATTAGCTACATGTCATGTGTTCCACAATCACAGGTGATCATAGCCACCACACTAGACAGAGCAGCCTCAAACTGAAACCTTTGAAGTCATTCATGACTGCTCTTTTCTCCCACACCCCAGTTTACTGGTGTTGTTTGCCTTCAAAAATATAAGCAAAACCCATCCACTCCTCACCATCTCCATTATCCTCTTGTGAGTTAGGGCTCTCATCTAGACTACTGTAGTAACCTCCTAACTGGTCTCTCTGCTTCTGCTTTTACCCTCCACAAATCACCCAACACAACTACCAGAAAATTCTTAAACTTAAGTCAAAATCCTCCCAATGACTTCCCATTTCATTTCAAGTAAAAGTGAAAGTCCGGAAGAGGTTCTACCCATCTGTCCTCTCTTGCCTCTGACTTCATGCCCTCCCACACCTCCAACCTGACCCACTCAGCCCCAGCTTATGCTGCTCCTGGACCGCCCCAGCCCCAGCACATGGCCTGGGGAAGCCTCTATTCTTACAGCCCCCCAAATACCTATGGACCATCTGGTCATGGCTAATTCTTACATCCCTTAGGTTTTTGCTCAAATATAATTTTTTTATTGCTCTGGAAACACTTCATGAAAAACTGCAGTCCACACCTCCCATTACTCCATTCTATTCCTTTTACCTGCCATATTTTCTTCCATGCCATTTAACACCTTTTAAACATATAATTTATTTATTATATTTATTGTTAATTGGCTATCTCCCCACAAGACCAGGGTTTTCTGATTGATCCATTCTAAGAATCTACAACAATATTCAGCATGCAATAACTCAAGAAAAGGTTTGTTAAGTGAAGGACAAGAAACATTTCTCCCAATTTTAAATTACATTTCCATTAGCCTGTTTCTTTGTTGTATTCTTGAATGCTCCCTAAGTCACAAGTTGCCTAGGATTGGAGTGGGTCTTTATATTCACCCTGCATCTTGAGTGCCTGCTGCAGGACAGAGGACACTCAGTGCATACTTGATGGGTAACTGGATCCGCCAGCCCAACTGCCCCTCAGGCTTCCCCTTTTCCTGCCTTCACCACCCTACTGAGTACTCACCTGTGATCAGCCCTGTCCTGACAGATACCTCTGCTCTCTCTTCTGTCGGGGGCCCCTGAGACCCCCACAGGCTGGACACCATAGTACAGGCAACCAGGGTCCATGATGTGCACTGCCAGGATGAAGAATGAGGAAGCAAGTATCAGATGGGAAAGTGGGAGATCTTGAAGTGGGCCATCCCTCTTCTCCAGCACCTGATAACCCACCTACCTGTGCCCGTTGTGGGTCTGAGGGCAGGGGTGGGGGCAGCTGTCTGGGAAGTGTCTGAGGCCCTGAGGGGAAAGGTCTATTGGTCATTAAGAGAAAGAGGAGAAAGGACAGTTCTCAACCAATTGCTTCTCTCTACCCACTCTCCAGCTTTGGATGCCCTCCCCCAGCATGGGAACCCCAAGGTGTCAACACCACTCACTTTTCCTGAGCTGCCTGTGCCCCGCCTCTTAAGTCCAGGCCGAAGTAGAGGGCATTGGGCATCATCTCCATGGTATTCACGGCTGATGGCTGTTCAGAGGGGGAGGTGAGGAGCCTTGGGCTGGTTTCCGGGCTCCTGGATACATCTGATCTCCAGAGGGCTGGGCTCAACCCAGGCCTCTGGGTGGTGGCAGGGCCACTGAGCCCACCAAACACCGTCCTGGGCTTGGGCACAGGTTTGAAGGACTGGGATTCAGAGTCTGGGCTGGGAGACGGCTCCATGGCACTATCCGATTGGAGATCCAGGAAGCCCTCTGCAGCACTGCCCTGCAGCAGGCGCAGAATGCGTTTCCGGTGCCCTGTGGCGCTGATGCCCAACTGCCTCAGCTGCTCGTGGCCCAGGCCCCGGGCTGCACCCGCCGTAGCCAAGCCATGCTGCCGAAAGGTGTCTGCATACTGCTCCAGGTGCACGGTGGCCAGCCACACAGCGATGTCCAGGTCCTGAGGGGCGGCCATGGGCCCTCAGGCCATTGCTGGGGGAAGGGGTAGGGTGAAGGGAGGGCTCAGGCAGTTCCCCCTCCCAGTCCCAAAGTCTGAGACCTGGACTAGGGATACCAGTCTTCCTCTAAAGAAAAATACCAGAGGCCTACATCGAGAGGCAGAGCCATCCTATAACACCAGAAAGGACTTTCTCAATCTAGGAGAATCCATTTATTTACGGATGAGAAAACTGAAGCCCAGAGAAGGAAAGAAACTTGCCCTAGCTTCTTAGCAAGTTTTTGTAGTGTTGGCTTAAGTTTCTGCTCACCCTGGGTTTAGGTCAAACTCTGCCTCTGCTTCCCTGCACACCACTAGGTACACAGTGGACAAAATGCCAGAGTCCCACTGGGCCAGGGTGGAGTACATGCCAAAGAGGAGCCCCTCAGTGGTCTGAACCCTGTGGTGTGCGGTGGGGACAGGGGCAGTTGTGGTCTAAGGAAGAGGAAGTGCAAATCCATTTCCAGAGTTTGCAGAGTTGGGGTGCAGGCTCTGCCATCCTAATCCTAGCCATTCCCAGTTCCTCCTCCCCTTCCACCTATTGTCTCTGTTCAGATTTCCTTCCTGTCCTTCCAGCCTTGGCTGCCCCCACATCCTGCCTGCCTTGGTCAGGTTGCACAGAGAGTCCCAGCTAGTTCCAGCATGTGGGGTCCTGGCCCTGGGCATAGGTTGCTTGGGAGCAGGGATGGAGGAGAGCTGGGCAGGGAGATGAGGGGCCAGGGCTGCTTCAGGGTCTTCATGCCCTACCCACCTGCAGTGTGTTCACACGCGTGTACACACATGTGACTGCGACGCATATAGACATTCAGCTCGATTAAATGACACCCCTTCGCCTCTGCTTTCTCCAAGCCTTTTCTCAGCTTTCCTTTTCCTGGTATATGCTCCTGGGCTCAGGTCTCTGAGGCTCTGTCCTGTTTAAGCCAGTCTGACCCTAATGGCCCTCTATTCTCTGGACAATCTGTCTCCCTGAGTTTTACCTCTGTCTTCTCCCAGTCTCTACCTCTGAATCTTTGTCCCTCTCTTTGTTTGCGGCCAGTCATTAAGTCTGCCTTTTGCCTCAGCCTCCAAATTTAACTAGATCTTTTAACTGTGTATGTATTATGGCCACCTGACCCTAGGCTTCTGTCTCTGCCCGTAGGGTCCTCTCTGTTTCAGAGGTCCCGACTAGGACTCCCTATCTGCCTGGCAATCGGTTCTGGTTTCTCTCAGCCAGCTCCGGGGTGCTGAACCTGGGGCCCTGACTCAGAGTCCATTTGCCCCGTGACTCAGGCACGGTCTGGCCGGAGGGCATGGGACTGGGGGGGGGGCGGGAGGTGCCCAGGGCGAGTGGGGTGGTGGGCTGGGGAGCACTGGGCAGCCCCAGGCAGTGCAGGTGAGAGAGCGCGCGGAGGAGGGTGCGGGCAAGGGCCGCTCACCCGAAGGAGGGGCTGGTGGAGGCGGGGAGGGGGAGGGCCCCCTACGAGTGGGGGCCTGGTGTCCCACGAAAGGCTTCGAGGAGATGATGGGGAGGAGTCTGGGAAGCAGGGGTGCGGGGAGCGCGGGGGTCCTCACCTCACTATGCTGCCGTCCGCTCCCGGGTACCGCCGGCGCCGCGAGGCCCGGGTCCCACACGCCGGCCCTGCCTCCCGCTCGGCCCTCCCCCGACGGCCGGCCCCACCCTGCCTGCCAGTTCCCTCCGCGGGGCCGGTCTCTCCTTGTGCAACCCCCGGCCTTCTATAGGTCTGGGTCCTTACCCAACCGCTGTGCTTATCTTGCGCTGTGAAGCTCTCTGTCCTCTCAAGAAGGGTGGGTAGGGGGCAGCGAAAAAGGAACAAGAAAGGAACGGGAACCGGCTTGGAAGCTGAGACATCCTTCAGGAGAGGGGCAGAGTAGAGACTAGTGCAGGGACCGGATGAAGAGTCAACAGCTGCGGGTTGAAAGGGGGAGCACCGCAGAGGATGGCTTGGCATCCCTCCTCTGCCCTCTCTGCCCTGCCTAAGGGGAGGGAAAGGACTGGAGCTCTAAACAACTAGGGCACTTCTCCCACACCTAGCAGGGTACCTGACTTCTGGCGCTCAGTTTGCTGGGGTGGAGGGAGATCTGGCAGAGAAGTAATGAATAGACACAGTCTTCCAAACTGGGGAGCCCCTCCTGGCGGCTCTCCAACCTTGGGAGAAGCCTATTCTCATCCTTCTGCTGGATTTTTTTTTTTTTTTTTGCAAGGGAGTGAGTGGGACCCATGAGGGTACCTGAGGAAAGATAGTTCTTGTCCCCTCCCCCCCAATCTGCAGGGGAGCCCCAGCACTTCCCCCTCAGAGCTGGGCTGGGGTTTAGCTCTGTGTGTGTGTGTGTGTGTGTGTGTGTGTGTGTCTCTCGTTGGGGGCCTCACTGGCCAGCTATGTTTTCCTGTTTGTACCAGAGGAAGTTGGCTGTGAGTCAGCAGACACAGGAACTGTCAGTAGCTAGGGGAAGACCCCTGCCTCAGGGGAGTGAAGGGAAGTGGTCCCCACTTTCCTAGCTGGGACATGGGGGAGAAATGACTGCCCTCTTCAGTGTCCTGGAGCCCTTGTCTCTGATAAAAAGAATGATAATAATTAAAAAGAGCCTAGTAATGTCACCAATTATTGAGAGCGGACTATGTCCCAGGCCCTGTACAAACTTTGCTTTGCAAACTTGGATTAATCCTCACAATAAAACTGTAAAGGCCCTCCCTGGTGGCACAATGGGTTATGATGCAGCACTGCAAGAGGGGTCGGGCCTCTTAGAGCCTCTGCCCTGGAGGTGACCCTCGTGGCACAGCAGACTCTCCTGTCTCACCAGCTGCTCCCCTCAGCAGTGTTCTTGATCTGCCTGTTCTGCTCCCCTGTTCTGTCTCTGGTGAATCCTTTCACTGCCCCTGCACCTCTGGCCCATACCCCAGTTCTGTATGCATAAATAAAGGAATCTTTAAAAATAATAAACTGTAAGATAGGGAATTTTATCACCTCCATTATTTAGACAAGAAAACATTTTTCTGGATGGGCAGTTTTGGTCCAGGAAAATGCTGCTCTTTAACCTCTCACTCTAAGGAGTGAATTGACCAAGGACCCCCAGCTGTTTCTCCCTGAAATCTATCTGTTCCTATTCTGAAGCCATCTTCCCACTTGGCTGCTCCCAGCCAATGACCAAACTCAGCAGAGATCCTCAGGCAGGCTGATCTCTGGAAATAGGGCATTCCTCAGGCAATTTAAGAATCGCCCCCATGGCCTTACTGGACTTACCTTCTAATTGCATAGTGTCAAGGATGCTTCCTCCTGACATTCTCTCTCTCTCTCCTTATAGTTCTCCCAGCCATTGACTGCTTCTTCTGTCACAGGCATTTCCCTTAATCAAATTTTTGCAGTTTACCCTGCTTCAGCAGCTTTTTCTTAGAAGACTCAGGGCAACTCAGTGAGAGGGGAGTTGGGTAAATCAGTACAGAGCATAGGGAACTTGCAAGGATCGGTGCTGGGGTTCCCTATCAGAGGACAGATACAGTTTTGTTTTGTTTTTAAGATTATTTATGCATACAAGAACTGGGGTACAGGCCAGAGGTGCAGGGGGTGAGAGGACTCACCAGAGACAGAGTGGGGAACAGAACAGGTGGATTGACACTGTTGAGGGGAGCAGCGGGCGAGACAGGAGAGGTCTGTTACACCACCCAGGGATGGAACTTGTGCTGCAGTGGCTGTGGATGGCTTCAAAGTGCTGAGACTAAACGGCTGTGCAACCAGGGAGGCCCCCAGACACAGTTTTAAACCTTTTTGTGTGCCTTGTTCCCCTTTGGCCATCTGGTAAAGCCAGTGGGCTTGGTCTTAGAAGTATGTTTTAAAATGAATAAAATATGTGGGGGAGAAAAAGACTGTTTTATTAGAAAAAGTGTATAGGATTACAGAGAAACCAATTATATTACAATATAATATTGCTATAAAATGATTTTAATGTGATACAGTAATATGTGCTTCTTTATTAATGCTTTAAATAAGGTCTAGCAGGAGGTTGATACCTCACATAATTTTAGAACAGTGGGGAGCATAAATAACATTTCAAATATCTGCAGCATTTTAATACTATATGAAAATACATGTGATCTCTATTCTATGACAAAGTCATAGTTATGGGTAATATAGCTGGTTTGTTGCAGCTGTCGTAATTGAAGAACATGGCAAAGTTCAGCTGGAGATAAGAAAAAATAATGTGATCTTTCTCATCCAAGTTCACTGACTCCAAAGTGAGGCCACCTGGGCCAGAGGGTCAGGGCTGAACCTCAGCGGAGATGAGGGCTCCTGCCCTCAGTCCTCACGTCCTCTCCCTGGTCCCACTCGGGCCCAGTAGACCCTCTCACTCTTCTGTAACCAGAAAATGCCCAGGTTGGGCTGCTTCTCATGCCAGAAGCCAGTTGAACAGCAACAGGGACTCAATCTACAACACACACTTTATAATGTCTGACAACTGGCTCTGAGAGAATGGGCGGGGTGAGGTGGGGGTGTTTTACCTCAAAAACCTGTTCTGACATCTCACCTCAAGCTCACCTTTTTCTAGCGATGTAAACAAAGGCAGCTAAGATAAGCGAGCCTCCCACCACAACAGCCCATTGGGGTGGGCAACCTGGTCTTCGCCATGTCGCCATGTCGTTAAGAGTTTGTTGTTGCCTCCTTGGTCATCTCAACTCCGGTAAATCCTGTTTCCTAGGCCCAGGGAAAACATCCTGTTTTTCTGATGGCGTTAATGTCGATACTTCTCCAGGTGTCACTGTAGTAGGAACCTCAGTTCAAAACAAGAGTTTTAGTTCAAAGAAAACAGATTATTAACCACACAGTGCCTGCCTGTGGCCTGGGCTGTGTGTCCGTGCAGCTCCTTAAAGGGTGGCCCCCTCCCCTTCCCCTAGCCTGGTCCCTCCACATCTTCCTTCTCTTTCTTCTTGATGCTCCGTTACTCTTTCCTCTGTCTCTCTCTCCACCCTCATCTCTATTTCTGTTTCT